TACTGATAAGGCAAATGCTGAATGGAGAATAGCTGCAAATCTAACTGACTTTTACAGGACCTTGCTAGAGGACAGGAATTTTTTAGGGAGATCATCTTATTTCTCTGGACTCAGCAGTACCAGCCCTTCCCCTCACTACCACCAAAAAAAAGTGAGAAGTTGTCAAAACTTCAGTTTGACTATAAAGGCAAAGAGGTTTGATCTGATCTGCATTCTGACTCCAAAGTGATGCTTTCCCTGGGCCCTCAAATACATGATTAATTTTGAGAAGTGTACTCAAAGATCCGCAAATATTGTTTTTTATTAAAACTTTCTATATTTATTTCACAGGGAGAAGAAAGCTTGGGTCTCTCCACAGGAAAGTGGCAGTCCTTAGCAGTCCACCACTTATGCTGTCCTCTAGACAAACTAAACTGGAAGGGAGGCAGGAAGAGTGCTCCCTGTTTCAAAGGATTTTCTATTTTCTCATCTCCTTCTTTCCTTTCTATTGTTCTGCCTGATTTTCGCTGTTCTCTGTAATGGCATTTCCTTAAGGTCAATCTATTGTTATTTAGGAGTGTGATAGAGGTAACTCAGGCTGAGTCATGCAATATTTGCCAACTCCACACCTTTCAGCATTCTGCTGCAGAGAATGGAGGTAAAATAGCTGTTTGTGATGACTACTGCTTCCTATATAAAAGCTGTTTTTTTAAAAGAAAATGAGTAAGAAAAAAAGCTCTAAAAAGAAAATTACTTTTTAATGCATTCTCTTAGGATTTTCGTAAGCCTGCAATGAAACTGAAGCTGTCCAGGGCCAGCAGCATTCACAAATAATGCCTTAGTAACACATGCATGTAAATCTAAGAGAAAGAAACAGGAAGGAATTCAACAAAGTATCATATTTTAAATCCACTGAGGATGCAGAATAAGCATCAATAAGAAAAAAAAAGTCTGCCTAAAAATTCTGGTAGATTACGGAAAATCTGTCTTTCTTTTCACAAATAAAATTTTACACTGACCACGTGCAAAAAAACCCCTTAACTGGAGAAGAAAAAGTCTACATAAAGCCTACTGTGTGTGAATCATATCTAATGTGAGCCATTATTTCAGACACTGACCTTAATTTTCTTTGCAACAATCTCGGATTTCAAATTATTTTGCATTTGCCTTAAAAATTTCTGACTACTACATAAAACATCTGTATTGCAGCCCAAATGCTCAAAAGGGGCATCCTGAGATGGTTGCACATGTGGTGGTGACATGCTTGTTAATTCAAAATTTTTCCACTTGGCCGACATTAAGAAACTGTTAGAAACAAAATATGTTATACATCTGATATGGGACAATGCTGCAGAGCTGCTACTGAATGAACTAGAGCTCTGGCTAGATACATAGGCATGTGTTTACTTTTGCCACCTTAGCTCTACAAAGCAAATTTTGATAACTACATCCAAACAGAATGTTATATTTGCTTTTTTCTTCCTTTCAGATTTGCCCTTGCTGTCATTGCTCAACATTTTCCTCCCTTCCTCACACATTACAGGTGCCAGGGATGCAGCTTTCAGGGCTAACCACAGGTGTGTTCTAGTAAATGAGTCTATTCTGTTAGCTCCATATAATCTGTGGGAAAAAAGTTGCTTATATGCAATTACACATTCACTTGCCCCCCACTCCATATGAATATACATGTTACTCTAATACAGGTGTGTAATGGACCTATGCCTACTTTACCATATCAAATTCTAACCCAGTACCTGCACCCTTTTAAGGTAGTATGACCTTAAAAAAAGAGGAAAGCGTATGAAACATCTACAGTAGAGTAAATAATGTAAACAAATGCTGTGAATATTCATTATAATTCTGAAGATTTTTTTTTTGCCTATTGCCACCACTTTCATGTATTTTTCCAACAGCTGTGTTCTACTAAGAAAAAAACCCAAAACTATGGAAGATGAATTCATGGTGGGAAGATTCACACTGGAGTAAATGTATTAACATTCAATACTGTACTCTGCAAGAAAATCCAGTGACTGCATTAGGGATATTCATGATATGAGATATAAAACATCATGGTTTTCAAAATATGTCCCTAATTTGGCATGCTCAAATAAATGAGGAGAACAAATTATAAAGCCTTTGCTTTTTGCAAGTATTCAGAAAGAAATGTGATGAAGAACAAGTTTGTTCAAGACCTGTTTTTCAGATCTGCATTGACTTCTACCCACATGAATCAGTCCTTCTCAGGGAAAGTAAATGTTTCACAGACTGGATCAAACACTGGTTAATAAGTTATTTGAGAATCAATCTATATTTATCCAGGTTCTGCCTGGAAATAATTGTGGATTATTTCCGCTTCTAACTCCTCTACGTTTCTCTGTGGGTTTATCATTGAGTATTCCAAAAACAGAGTGGTAAAATGCTCTAGTTGAAAAACAAAACAGACTGGAAAAAGAAAAATGCAATAGATCTGGAAAGCTCATTTGAAATTTATGAGGGATTTGAATTTGAATATCTGAATTTGCCAGCCCACAAAGGAAGAAAGTAGGAGGCTGCGAGTGAATAAGTTTCCTGTGGTTCTTCCTTTATAAAAAGTGACAAAGGAAGGAACTCTGTACTCAGGCAGACTTTGTAAAGCTGTTCAGTCTGTGCCTACATCAAGACTGCTGTCAGGATGGTGACGGAGCTCAGGAAAGCTTTCTGGGCATTAACTTGTATTGCTCTTACCTCTGTTCACACATCCACAGCATAAGGACCCTGTCCACTGACCTGCAGCTTCCAGAAAACAGATAGGTTTGGTACACTGTATGTTCAAATAAATCGTAAGATCTTTTCTCACAGGGTGCAGAGTTTGGCAGTCTCTTTCAGTATTTGCTACTGGAGGTAACTGTATATAATGCACCCAAGACAGTTTTGCATAAACCAGGGGTTCTCCATTTCCATAATGTGGATCACATCCAAACAGAGGGACTCCTTTTTAGTCTCAAATACCACATTCAATCTTATGGGCAAATAACAATCCTACAACAGCATTTTTTTACAAGGACTTTTGATATCTTTTCACAATAATAAGCTAAAACCCAGGCAATAATACCTAGAACAAGGCAATCCAACAGACGGTTTCCTACAGAACACAGAAGTGCTGACTACTTGTGTAAATTGTTCGTGGTCTGTGGACCATGAATCATTGCATCCTTCATAAAAATAGATCTTGGAAACCTACTTATCTGAATACAATTGGTACGTGTCAATAAGGACTGTATGTAGGTTAAGAAGGCAAAAGGATACAGAAGAGCTTTCAGAAAGAATGACTGGGTTCAGGGACTTTTTGTGACTCAGGGAATGGGATGCTGTTTTACTCAAGGGCATGTGCATGCTTCTATGACAGTCATAGACCAGGGAGAGCACTGATTTTTGAAAGACAGCAGAGTAGGTTTTTAGCCATTTGGGCATTAAGAGCTGTCTTGACATAGAAAACTGGGAAAATAAAGCCACTTATTAGAACTGAGGAAGCAACTTCAGGGAGGAGCTATGGAACTCGAAAGGGCGGGTTTGAAGAGGAAGATTAACTCCCTGGAACTGTCAAGCTCGAGCTAGATGCTGAAATAAATAAACATGAAAGCAATAGTTTGCAGCTAAAAGACCTTACTGTCTCTCTTTGGTGCTACTCTGGAAGAAAAGCATAGAAACCTCTCCGAGAAGAAAGGTTGCCTTTGTCACATCTTAGTGGTAAAGTTTAAAAAACAGACAATGCTGGCTCTTAGGCAGGCAGCATAAAGAGCAGGGGGGAAGGACCTGTGCTGGCACAATGCCTCTTTTTGGTTGTGAAGTGGTAACTATGAAATGGTTCCTCAGTTTGGTTTAACTTCTTCTAAGAGATAAACTGACCTAGTAGAGGGTGAAAGGAAATTAATATAGTTCGTGACTGGGGACATGTCTTTTTTTTTGTAGGAGACGAAGAAGTAAGCAGCATACTTTTGAATTTAGAACAAATCCGAGTTCAATGAACTGATACCTGGAAGGCTGGTGACATTCATGCTTTACGCAGTGTATTAATTCAAAGGAAACCACTAGCAGCCTGTGGCCGGAATAGGTGCTTTTGACTTAAGTAAATTAATTCATTAAATTAACAAATGATGAGGCTACAACAATAGAGCGAGGAAATGAAGACATGATTATGAGGGTCAGCATAGTGTTGGCTAAGATAAAGCACAACACAGATGGCTTTTCAGAGATGACAGGCTAAAGGATTGCTGATATGGAAGATATCTACAACAACTGAGAAGTGAATTTAACAGTAGAGTCATATTGTTTTTCCATGGCCTTGAACTTTCTTTTCTTAAGCAATCAAAATTTGGCAGAGATTTTTAATGGCACTCATATGTGCCTGTTATGTTTCATAATGCTTCTACTAGAAGAATGCTTCTACTACATCTATTAAAAGGTTTATAGTTCTGCACTTTTGCATAATTACATCTGTCCTATCAGAAAAATTTCTAGGCTAGCAGTTGCTGTCACTTACCAGGTGCTGTCACAGTTAGTGACAGCAACTCTGATTAGGTTCCACTAGTTATTGAAATTAATGAAAAGTACCTGCAAATTAAGAAGTATCATTGGTATTCGTAGGGTTTTTTTTTTAAAGCTCTGTAAGGACAGCTGAACTCTTCTGTTAAAGGAGCAAATGTAGATGAAAACTAAGCATTACAGGAAAATGTACTGTTGGCAGTATTGGAGATTTTAAAGTACAATGTTCAAATTGTTAATTTGCTAAAGGAGTTTACAACTCATGCCACCTTGTTTTCATGGAAGACTTCCAAACAAGTTTTCAACAATCATCTGAGCTGTAAGGTCAGCCTTGTATCATATGATGCGGAGATAGAAAAATCACAAGCTTGAAAAAAGGAAATGCAGAGCTGCTGTACAATTAACCATTTCCTCTTTTATATTTTGTGCATACATCTGAATAATGACTGACTGTAAATTCCACTACTTCCCATGGAAAACTAACACTAAATTTAAAAGACAATTTTTCTGCACCACATTTGTTCCTGGCTTCTATCACATTTACTGAATTTTCATATATCAATCTGTGCCTTAGGAGACCCACTCACCTTTACAAAAATGTATTTTTGAAAATAAGCCTTAAGAACCTTCCAGACTCAGGGGTAGAAAAGGAAGGAAAATCAGAACTAAGACAGGGTATGTGCTGGAGAAAAGAGGGAGTCCTCCAAGAGACCATAAATTTCTTTTCATTTTACCAACATATAGATTCATGTTGGCAATCCACGTGGCTGCTGAATCATAGATTCATTTACAAGTAACCTGTAGGTCTTACAAATAAAAATTCAGTGCTGTAAAATCATTGTATGGGCACATAAGACCTGAGTAAATCACACGCATTTCAAATCTTCTGGTCCTGGAGATGTGCAGCACAGAATCTGCAGATAAAAGCAATGCCATCCAAAATATCATCACTTTGGGGTCTGTGGAGACAGTGGTGGGGATGTGATGTGCTGGCGGCTAGAATGATAATCTTCCACATGTTTGGTGTTAAACAAGTCTATAAATCAAGGCTCCAGGAATCAATTTTTCCCATGTTCATTTTGGGGGACAGTAAGTGAAGCTTGTCTGCATAACATGTGAATGATTCATATTTTAGGCATTTTCACCATGCCTAAGATCTCACTTGTCTCTTCCCAATACAACTCTAAGGTTTTGTACTGTAAGTCAAAAGCTTATGAAAAGGAGTTGAGATGATTTTGTGATTTATGAGAGGTAGCGACAAGCATGGAATGGATGTGCTGTGACATCTTCAGAAGATAGTTGGTCACCTGTGACCACAGCAGACCCTTCCTGGTGATTACATTGTCCCTCCCAGTCCTTTCAACTGTTTTTGTCCTGTGCCCACCAGTGCTAGAGGCTGTGAAAAGCTGGTGTCTGCTGTCTTTAGGGAAATCTGTGGATTTCATACTTGACTCACAGACATCTATGTTGCACCACTGATGATGCTAATTTACAAAGACAGTTAATACCGAGGGCTATCAGTGTATCTACTGATCATATGCATCTGGAGACTAAGAAAACATCTTCACAAGATGAAAAGAAGCAGTTTCCACCAGTGTGAATCAGTCCTAAATATATGAGGTTTTTGCTTCATGGTTCAGCATCTGTACTACTTGCTGCACCTGAAGACAGTTATCAACAGTCAAAAGTCAGCAAGAAATCTCCCAGCAACTTCAAGAGCAAAAAGAAAAGGTGCTGAACTACTATGTATCATTCTCCCAACTCAGGGTTAAGCAACACAGTCAAAAAGTGGCAGCTACTCTTGCCCATTTCATACTCTGTGCTGAGAGAATTTTTGCCTCCCGATCTCTTAATCTAGTTCTTATCAGTGTTCTCCTTTCACTGAAAAAAAATCCAAACCACAGACAAATACATATCAGACTTAGCAATATACTTAACTGGAGAGATGAAAATAATGTCATCTATGCCTGCCCATTTATCAGCATCTTTGTTATTCTGAGAAATAGAGATGAAAAGTTAAAAAACACCAATGCATTTCAACTCTGCCATTTCTAGGATTATTCTTTCTGTGCATGCTTCTCTGCCTTGCAGGGTAAACACATAAAGCAATGAGTAGACAAGAAGCACTCCCAGCAAAAGAGAATTTACAAATCTTCAAATGATGTTGAATGTGAGTGGGCAGACCATGACAAAATGTTCGCACTTCATCAAATCTAACTAGTTTGCCACTACATATTTATGCTATAAACTGTGAACTGGAGTTCCTCTGTGGGAGAGTAACCTAAATGAAATGACAAGAAGCAAAAAGACAACTGCTTTTGCAGGTATGGGATAGTACAGGATTTGCTGGTTCCCAATTCTCTTTATTTAATTGAAAAAGTCTTTAAGAATCCATTTCCATCACCATTATTTAAATGGAATCCTAATTTACTCTCACAATTAGTTGCATTTATTCTGGAAATACAATGAGTGAAATAATGTCTTTAATCTTTGCCCTCGTTGAAATGGAATAATAATTCTACCTGTCTCATTTTCAGGTTGTGAGGCTGAAACTGTACAAGCAAGAAAGTATGCATATTCCACAGCGGTGGGTACTAGTTCAGGATTGATGTATTTTATGATCTTTAGATAGAAGTATCTTCAGAAAAGGTGTTTTGTTAAAATTAGCAGTATCGTTGCTTCTTGTGCTGATAATGAACTAATTTATGGTCACCATAGTGCAAAACTTTCAAGATTTCCCAGTGCAGCAGGTTTATGACTTCAAAATGCATAGACATTTTATTTGTATATCACTGTCTAATATTTACATAGAGTTAATCTACCAAGACATCTCCATAGAATTTACTGTGTGTTTTTGCAATAGTCATGCAGAAAAATGCTGACTGTTTAATACAGTTATGGATTGTTTTGATACAATACTGTGTAGACTGTCCATCTGATAAATTTCTAATACTTTTGACAGGATAAATTTGAAATTCAAAAGGTGATTTCGAACATGGATTTATCAACATAATGGATCAGAGGGAAATTTATTCCTTTACTTATATTATAGCACCCTTGCCTGGCTTTCAGTTTCTTAGAAGTCAGCCGTTGTTAGGCTGTACCAGTTTTGGGCCCCCAAGACAGGCAAGACATGTAAACTGGAGCAGTTGAGCAGAGGGTCCCCAAGGTGTTCAGGGCTGGAGCACTTGTGCTGTGAGGAGAGGCTGCAGAATCTGGGCTTGTCCAACCTGGAGAAGAGATGGCTTGGGTGGGGGCTCACAGCAGCCCCCGACACCTATGGGAAAGGGACCCAGAAGCTGGAGGCAGGCTCTTCATGGCAGTGCATGGTGGGAGGAGATGAGCTATGGGCAGAAGTTGAAAGAAGAGAGGTTCAGACAGGAGATAAGGAGACCCTTTCCCCCGGGTGGACAGGGCTGGGCAGGGGTGTGGGTTGCCCAGGGAGGCTGTGCCGGCTCCATCCGTGGAGGTTTCCAAGCCCTGACAGCGCACGGCCCTGAGCAGCCTGGTCTCCCTGAACGGGAGGCTGTGCTGGAGACTTCCTGACCTCCCTTCCCACCTGGTTTGCCCTGTGATCCTGTGTTGGCAACTGTCAGGAGACTGCTCGCCCATACGGACACCCATAGCTATGAGCCAAAACACACAGCCAGATCCCATGTCTCACTGTTCCTAGGAGAGCCTGAGTAAAGTTCTAACATCACCTAGGTCAAGAGCAAAATTCCCAGTGATTTTGCCAGGATATCACCCACTGTATTTTGTCTTTAACTATGGAGAAGGAATATTGGAGTTTTGCCAGCAGCTTCAGAGAGGTCACATCACACCAGATGAATAAGGGTGTCCAGCCCTGTGCTGACCAGGGAGCCTGGGTCAGCTGGAATCTGCACTCAGCTCTTAGCTAAGTACCTAAAATTAGATGGACTCAATCCAGGCATGAGAGTTAAAACAACATTAAATATTTGGGGGATTTTTTTCACATGTGCCTAATCTGAGGTTGGGCACAGCTCACTTTTCCTAGGAAGCAAATACCTATGACTGATAGTCAATTTCAAAAAGTTAACATGTACAATGTGTACATACATACATTTGCCTAAAGTGTGTGCTTGCCAGACAGTGAATAGGACTGATCTGATTTTACCTGCTGACAGTTAGATATGATCTTGTGTCCATAAAGAACTCCAGTCAGTGCTCATGCAGTTTAAATTCATAGATTCTTGCATTTCTGCTGGCATGTAATACTTATACATATATGAGGCTTGGATGTGTGTTTGAAGTCTCTTCTGTTTCTCCCTTAGATAAAGTTAAAGTTCAATGTATTTGAGATCTAAATAGTGACATAAATTAAACTCTTTATTACTTTAAAACATTAAATGAAATTCTTCTGTGTTTGTCATCCAGCCCATTCCCTGATGTGTGCTGATATATACCAGACTCGGCCACCCCCTATACTTCTGTGCTCAGTCTCTCACAACTTGACTTTTTTCTGTGAAGGCTAATTAAAAGGCAAAGGCATTAGATCAATGAAACACAAGGAAAATTGCAGAAAACATGTTGAGAATGGTAAGTCTGCCTATTGACATTTCAATCTTTGGGGAATTGCTCTGGGTAAGAGCTTATTTCTTAAGTTTCACACCTCAGCTGGATCAGTTTCCTTAGCCCAATTAGAGATGCATGTCTTTTGCTACCCTGTTTTCAGTTACATCATTTGATTTAAATGTTGTTGCACCAGAACAATTGACATACAAATTTGGCCTTTAATAAAAATCTGTTGCAGTGATGAAAACTTTATTGCATGTCATTGTATTATGTTATGAACCACTTATGCAAAGAACTCCAACAAATTTTACATTGACTCTGCAAAAACCTATGGCCTGATGAGAGCTACAGAAATGCTTGGGGGTACATAGTTAAGAGAACCTTCTTTTTGACATCACGTGGTGTAAAAATTCTTAATTTTTGGAACTCCAAGAGGCGCTCTCTTTTGTATCGTCTTAGACAGAAAGCTTTATTTAACTTTAGGTGTAATGAGAGATTTCAGTATCAAAACAGTCTTTTAAGGAGGTAAATCTTCATTTTGAATGGCAGTGATAAACATGAATTTAAAATACACCACATTCTAGTTAAGAAAAAAAAAAAAAGAAACAAAAGTCCAAGAAAAAATATCTAGTGTTCAAGATGTCTCCATAATTAAAGCTAATTTTACTTTCTGGTCTGTATATTGCTATAACTGGATCTTTAGTCCCACACCCCTGTTTACAGTTCTTGCCTGCCCTTTGATCTGCCAACAGATTTGTGAGGAAAATTACAGGACTGGCATGCTTATAGTTCTTCTTGAATAAAGACCAGTTCCTGCCTAGAAAAGATATAGCTGGCTAAACAGCTATCAAGAGGCGAGGGTTTGGCTTGCTTTATCTGTGTTGTTGGCTCAGATATACTTTCTCTTCTATCCACAGGGCACTCCCATGAATGAGGCAAAGAGAGAGGAATATGTTTACAGTTCTTTCACTGCTCCAAAGAAAGTTCACTAAGATGCTACCAGAGGTTAAAAATAAATGAAAATGTATAGCTATTTCCAAAAGCATACAATAAATATGATTTTAAACATCACAACGTATGGATTTTTTCACTGCAGTAGTGTTTCTCCTACATGCAGATGCAGGATATCAGTATTTGAATTCTCTTCTATGCTTCTTTTCAAAGATTGAAGGAATTGCAGATATGGGTGAGAACTGAGCTCTACTTAAAAGGATCTAAAAGTACCCACTGGTTTCAATGGGATTTGAATTCGGGCCTTAGTGCTGGTATCTGGACTTGAGAAAATTTCCAGAGGCAACAGGAATGGTCACCCTATTACCACTGCAGCCAGAAAGCTGGCATCTGCCTGGCTAGAGCATTTGACTTCTTTCATTACAAATTACAATGGAATATTCATTCTGAGGGTCTGTGGCATCCCGTTCTTTAATAATGAAGTCCAAGTTTGTACAGGTAGAGGCACTTCAAAATCAATACTGTGCAGCTTGCCAGTGAGTCCCAGGTAGACCACTGAAAGGCATGAGGAGCATGGGTGGGATGGATGAAAGGGGCCAGGGACACTCCCCAGTCCCAGATCTAGCTAGCATACACAGCCCTGCCGTGGCGCATTGCCAAGAAGGTTTCTGTAATCATCTGTCATTGTGCAGCTTCTGGATGGGCATAAATTTGAGCCTGAGAATTGTAAACTTTGTCATCGTAATGATTAAGTGAAGAGGAAGCTTCCCCTGGTAAATATGTGCCTCAGATAAACAGAAAATGACTTGCATGCATTGCCTTGGCTGCTGGAACAGACTGCTAAATGTCACCATTGCCAACTAAAAATTTGCAGAAAATTTTGTAAAATATTTTTATGCTGTGTCTTTTAGCAGTAAAGCTTTATTTTGTGTTTGTTTGTTTTTCTTTAAAATTACGGTCTGTAGAGACTCGTGCTTGTTGTTTGTTCCTCGGGTCATGATTTCACTTTTTTTTCCTTTAAAAGGATCTGCAATCATCTTCCTTTACAGGTGTCAGGATATATTTTCAACAGAAACACATTTTGTTCTGAGATATAGGACAGGTCACTCACAGTAACATCACAGAGCAGCCTTACCAGCGGAAAAAAACAGATTGCCTGACATTTAGAGGCTCTGTTCCTCTGTGGGCTGTGATAGAGATGTGGCCAGTACAGTGATTTCATACTTTTTCAGGTCAGGAGGGTTAGATTATTAGTCAAATCTAAAGCAGTGAGGTAAACATTTACAAATTCCTACTTTGCTGAAGTTTAATTTGAGTGGGAAGACGGTGAATATACCCAGAACGTGTGTTGCTCGACATGGTCTGGCTTTGATGTTCACCTGTAAGACCCATGAATCACCTGCAGCTGCAAAAACTGTCTCAGGGAACAAGTTAACTTTAAATAGTCTCCTTTTTAAGGGTTTTGCTGAACTGAAGCCAGGAGGATTAGCTGCAGGATTTTAATAGGAAGCAATATAGATAGATAGATTAGAATAAATATCTCTTTTTTCTGTGCTATATAACTTCATGAGGCATTTGTCATCAGAATTAAATAGGTCATGGGGTGAAGACAGTGCTGAATCCTGGCCTACAAATGCCTTTTATTACCACACTGACAAGGGAAAAGGCAAAAACCTGAGTTTCTTCTCCTAGTGTCTCTTGAAAAAGGTCCTTTTCATGATTTCATTGGTTATTTCTAATAGTACAGAGATGGTGCTTCTTACTGAGAGCTACACAAGTTTTTATAGGTGCTAATGTAACACAGTGGTACAAAGCCAAGTGATAGCTTTATATCCCTACAACTTCCATTTGCAAAACCAATTGATAAAGTAGTTTGAAAGCAATTTACAGTGAACTCATAGTTGTGTCAGCAAGAAAGGAGCAAAGAGCTATTCTGTGGAAAGACTTGGGGGACTACTGTAGGTTCAAATAGCCCATTTTCTACCACAGTTCACAGGAAGATGCACAGTAAGCCAGGTAATCTGTAACGCTCTGGATTCAGCCATGTCTGGTTTTGGTTGCAGGAGGAAGATCTTTCCCGCCCGATTGCCACAGTTCTCCACAAACCAGAGGCAGTGTCTGGGAATCTCTGCTAAAGAATCGTCTTCATTATACATGAAAATTGACTTGAAATGTTGACTTTTATGCTGGCCCATCTCAGACTAGATCTGAGTTCAGACTGACATGCAGAAATAGACAACTGTTTGGAAAGAATGTCGTTTTACTGATTAATATCCAGAACTTGAATTGATGCCTCTCCAATTTGCTTACAATTTCCAGGATAAAAGAGAACAACCAAAGCTCTAATGCCAGATGCTGATCATTCTCTAAGGGGGGCACACATCTTCTCTTTGGAGGCTAGTTACTGAATTTGCAGCTGTGATTTTTGATTGCTCCATTTGGGAGCCTGTAGGAGTAGACTATTATGTTAGGAAGAAGTCAAACAAAACTCTGAGTTTATCCTGAGTCAAATAAACTGTGTTGTCTTCTTAATTGATTTCCAGTGAAACTAACTTTTATTTATGCGCAGAGCTTGATGAACAAAAAATAGTGTCAACACATCCTAGGCTTCCCTCCACTAAGTTGGCAGAGGGTAATCAGTAAAACAAATTGTTTCTATAATGCTGAGTTTTTCTCATGAGGAACTGCTCTGTCTGTACTTGGATAAACACAGAAGTAAACTCACATGCAACTGAATTTTAACAGAAACAGTGCAGTGCAACCACATCAATATAGTAGGGTTATTTAGCCCCAGTCTCATTTTATAAGTTAAATAACTGTATAAAATATAGAAATATGTATATATTTTCTCAGCTAGAGATGAAATTATTCTAAAAGGTGCGAAGAGATTGTAGTCTTTGCATTGTGTAAAAGAGACAATGAGATTGGAGAACATTTTATACATCCAAAACTATCCAGCATGTCACAGAAATTTAAGATGGAAATATATTACAGAGTGCTTTGCATGAGGGAATGAGTGCAGAAGCTGCCTTCTGATACCACCATCCCTTGGGGCACCCTGCACTTTCAAAGCACTGGCCAGGATGTTAATACTGGTTTGCCAGTTGCCATGATTTATGTGCATCTTTTTCTTCATTGCCCTTCTCCCTGAGGTTCCAAAGAGACCGGAGCCGCAGCCAGCAAGGTACTGATGACAGAGGTTGGAAGCACAGAAGTTCCCTGCTGGAGGAAAGTAAGAAATGTGATGGTTTTCATGTTAAAATTTCAGTCAATAAGAAGGGAGTTATCCTTGTTGGTAGAAATCACCATTGGAAAGGAAAAATAAAGGGTCCATCCTGATATAAAGAAGAACGTGGGTTTTGTCACCATGCAAAACACAAGCCAGTATGGAGGGCAGTGCCATGATTTCCACTAGCAGAGACTGAAGGGGAATGTTATAGGAATCACTATGTGTATCAATACACAGCACATCCTTGCTGCCCTCCAGGGTTAAAAAGTCTCTGGCATATTCACTGGCATACTGAGCACACCCAGCAAGGGTGACCTTAGCAGACAGGCCATCTCCTTGCATCACGTCCTAGAACAGCATGGCTTGCTTTTTACTTAACTGTACTCTTCCTGCCACGCTCTGTTTATGCTGTCCTTGTTCCTATATCTCATTTGTAGTATCAAGAATAATAATCACCACTGTTTCTCTATTTGCTTTCTACTTTCTGCTATTCATCTATTTGCTGTCTACTTTTCTACTTTCTACACTTATTTTTTGGTTCTTCCTCACGCATATCAAACCAAAACAGTGCAGAGGTGCTGACAGAGGTGGCAGAACATTACTGAATGCTTTATGAGCAAAGGAGAGACACACAGGTCTGTCAGTGGCCACCTTAACCTGCAGGTCTGTACTCATCAACTGCTTTATAGGCTTGCAGGTGACCTACTGCGATGGAATCAGAGGAGATCATAGGGTTGTTCTAGTACAATATCCACAAGTCCAGGATTACATCTGCACGTGCGCAGGAGGTCTGAGATAAGGCTCGGCAGTGAATAACGTGGGAGGACAATAAGGAGCAATAAATAACCTGGACTTGCTTTCAGACAGAGTTCTCTGGATGAGGTCTTGTGGGCGTAATTGCCAAGCACCCAGAGCTGCTGTGCTGTCCTAGATGCAGACTGTAGCTGTCTTTTCACCTAAAAATTAAATTAATCTTCAGTGTGGAGCATTGTGTTAGCTTTTAACTATAATGAGAGTTTAGGTACCTACTGGATGTGTGAACAGCAACATGTAGTTGCTTTAGTCTCAAACGGAACCCCTTGTTCTTTAGTTCTCAGAATACGTGGCAGAAGAAATTCAAAACTCCTAAAGTTACAGCACAAAATCCCACGGACATGTGCACAAGATTATTACTGTTTTACCCCTAAACAGGATTATAAAGAGAATTCAGAGCAAAAGTAAAATTAGTGACCTTCTAAGGAGTATAAGGAACCAAAGTAACCTTGCTTAAAGTCATTGGCACTCAAATAGTTCACTAATGCCAGGGTCTAACTGTGCCTGGCTGTTCGTTTTCTATACACCTACATTGCTCTAAGACAATTTGCAAATAGTATGACAGAATGGAGGTTTGCCTACTCTTGAAGTTCTCTATTATTAATGAACTCACAGTGGCTCTGTACTGCATTTCAGGATAGGAAGAGAGGAATACCATGTGCAAGTGAAACTGTAGGCTTGTTTGAGTAAGCAGCATGTAATTATCCAGACTGGAAGGTGGCCAGTGCACTAAAGCTGACGCTTACACTAACCTTGAAGCATTCAGAACCCAGCATATTTGCAAACTGCTACAGTTCATTTTCCAAGGTTCAGCATTAGACAGGAATATATTCTCTATTACAGTTTGATGGCAGCACATCCTCCTGCCCATTATAGTTCCACAATCTACTTTTGCTGCCTAGCTCTAATTCTGATACCTTTCATTTTTATCTATTAGGGAAAAGGAAGAATGAGAACAATAGCTTATTCCTTCCTTTCCAACAGCCTGGCTACATTTAAGTGGCAGTGGAAA